TATATATATATATATATATTCATTTTTATTGTTATTTTTAAACTATGTTCAATATTATATAAAAATACAATGTTACCAATACCTAAAACAAAGCTAAAACAAATATATTATAGAAAAGTTTGAGTCGTGTCATGTAGCTCTCCATGTACAACTGCTTGCCCCCGCCCACACAAAAAGAAAAAAGAAAAAAGGATTTTCAGTACTTCAGACTTCAGAGCATAGCTTTGCTTTGTTGAGGCCATAAACCTTAGTGACAGAATGTCTGGACGAACCGGACAACTGTGCGATATACTTCTATACCAAATATTTATCACTTTCCTAGGTTTTATTTATGTCCCAATCTCTCTTCAGTCCTCTCACACTCAGTGCTTGGTGTTGTCCCATTGTAAGGACATGAATGTCCTGTTGTGAACATGATGTACTGTAGTGTCATGTATCCTCCTCAGCCTTTGAATATGGACTCAGATCTTGTCAGTAGAGAAACAGATCTTCTAGCAAACATATCCTATATTCTATTCTATTCTATTCTATTCTATTCTATTCTGTTGTATTATATTATATATTACACTCAGAATTTTTTTTTACAAAGCTGTCACTATGGCACCCTAACGTAAAAAATCTAAATGATACATCTTGTACCTTATTCACCTCTAAATGGTGCATATTAGTACTTTAAAAGTACATATTAGTAACTAATGTGAATATTAGTGCCTTTTGAAAGGATTGCTGCCCCAGTGACATATATTGTGAATATAATAACATTTCGCAAATAATTTAAAAGTGCAATATTACTTAAGTTTATTTTATACATTTATAAATGAAAGGTAGCCACCCATTTTTTCCCATTTGTTTCAAATGAAATGCCTGATGTATTCAGATCACGTCACATGCAGTCTGCTATTTTGATCAAAACTATTTTCATCTCTTTGTTGGATCTTGCCAGCTGTCTTTATTCATGTCTCTCCCTACTGTTACTCTCTAATTGCACAGACCAAACTTTCATCCTTTCCATTACAGATGATCAAACCAGGACACTGAGAGTTCCTTTGGGCAGTATGAATTCATTTAAATCAACTCGTTCTTATTCATTGGAAATCACAGCCTACTGTGCAAAGCCAATTGTCCAGTTTTGATTTCACCCTCCATTCATTCTGCAAGCAAATCACAAATGTCCATCACCGGTGATTATATGTTTAAATTCCAGCAACAAAAAAAAAAACAAACAAAAAAAAACGTTGACTAGGTCATGTAATTATCCTCACTCCAACTGTCCTGGAATAAGATAATAATAATAATCTATTTTCTGACGCAGGGATACCTTAAAATCCATTTACAGACATTTGCCTAAAATGTCTGCAGAACTTCTCACCGTTCTGTCTCCATTCCTTTCTTTCTTTCTCATCTACAGTATGTACAGACCTCTCCCTTTCCACAGCGATACACAAGTGTGGGCAGAAAGAACAGAGACAAAGACAGAGGCATAAGTGTGTCTGGGGTTAAGTATGAAAATGAGACAGAGAAAATAAAAGAGTGAGAAATGCTGAGCGAGCCCTGCTGGGTTTCCTGCATTCAGTGCAGATGGGTTTGTTTCAGCTGCACATAGATAAAATAAAAGTACATAACATTTTTCAATTTCCAGTTAATGTGCAGAGACTACTATAAAGAAGTCATTTTTTTGGTTGTGGGTTGGTTTTAGCCAGATGGCGTGAGTTGGGGCGGAGCCATCTGGGTAACCAATCAGTGGCTGTTTGATTTAATTTCTCTGTCTGGACAACAATTTATAAATCAGATACAATTTCAAACTCCAAAACTTTTTGAACTGTGATTCACCCCGCTTTTAATGAATAGAATATAGATGTTATTGTAAAAACAGGTTAAAGGTACACTGATCAATAAAAATGAGAAATTAAGTACAGGAAAAATGAAAAAGAAGAAAGGGTGGAATGGACTGAAGAGCTGTAGTATTCCCTGTGTGCTGGATGAGACAGATATGAGATTATCAGAAGAGAGTGCTACAGCCTCGCTAATGGATTTCTGTACTGCAATAAGAAGAAGTGAATGGCAGTGGGACTCATGTTTGCCTGCTCGGCAGAAAAGCCATAATCCATCCCCTGCATTATTACACGATGGATCTGCCATCCAGGCTAGGTCATTGAATATAGTTGCCTAATCAGGTATTGCCCTGACTGTCACAGCTTCAATTAGCGATTAAAAAAGAGGCAGAAAAAAAGAGGCAGAGAGAAAGAGAATATCTTGTTTCTATTGGATTGGAGCAATCACATCTGATTTTGATGAGCTGCTGTGCTGTTAATTGCTGGGTCTTGATAGATGGGTCTCTTAAGGCTGTTTAAATGGGAGAGGGTGAGTTTTTTCAGTGTTGATGGGCTGGAGGGGGTTAAAATTATGGGCTTGTGACATATTATTATTATGTAATATTATGTGAAACTGAAGTGCTTGAAGAAATGTATAATATGTCGCTTCGTTTTATAAAGCCGTTTTATATTGCTTGCCCATATAATGGTTTGATATTTTCTGTTACCTTACATTTTCGATACATCACCGATTGTTTTTGCACTTCATATAGTAATTGTTTAACTGTTTAAATTTAGCTGAAAACCCTAGAGTGTAATAAGCTTGTGACAGCTTACTCCAAATATTGCCAGTACAAGGGGGAAAAGGTCAATGTGTTTAAGAAACTGTATGATTTTTTGATGTTGGATAGAAGGACTTGTTTGTAACCAAGACAAATAAATGTATCATTAGATAGGGGAGAGCGGGGTGATTTGAGCCTGTGTAAAAGTATGAATTTCTTTTTGTTTTAAAAAAAGGGAGCATATTCAATGGAGTCGAGTGTGACAACTAGCCAAGGACTCACTATTATCATGCCATTGTGAAGGCTGTTAAACTCTTCAATAAGGTTGTCACAGAGATAAGCTGTTCAGTGTATATTTATGCATGTAAATACATAATGACCTTCTCTCTGTGTCACTCTTTAGGAAGCTGTAATAATTTACTTATTTGTAAGGGAATTAATCATTATTAATTCATTCAGGTTTATTTCTAGCTCAGGTTTTAAAAGAACTCGATCTGAGAATTCGAGGTCCACCTGATCAAAACTGACTTTGACTTTCAATAGTTTATACTTTTATCAGCTACTCGACCAGCGAGAAGCTGATGTCAGTGTATATTACCAATTGAATATGTAATTTTTGTATTCTCCCTGGCCACGGGTGAAATACAAAAATTAATGATTTGTCGGCTCTTGAAAGAGAGGTAATTATTATGCGTAAGCTACGAGCTAAGGTAACAAGCAAGGATCGTTTGGCAATAGAATTGACACGAAATTATATGACCCAGACAATTGATTAGTTATAAATGAAACATGAAATTTATTGGCTATTCTAGATCACATAAACTTAAGCTAAAACACACAAACATACAGTGCAGAGGAAGGAAAGTCTGTTAACGGAGTTCTGAGTTTCATAGTTCTCTCTCTTTTCACGAGGGATGGGAATTCACCTTAAGAATTCACAGAACAACGAATCTAAATTCACCCGTTCAGCAGATCATAGAAAATGTTGTTTACTTGCGTTCCGCGGGTTGACAGCTGAGGTGACTCCGTGGTGCTGCGGGCTTCCTGGAGGTCTTTGAGGGAAACTCCTCACTGACGGGTCGGTGACGTCAGGATGAGGTCCTTTGGGAAACCCCTCGTTAGTTTGTGATGACGCAGAGGCGCAAGCAATCTGCTGAGAGTCTTAGACTTTCAAGTTTGTTGACGATTTCAACGAAGTATCACTGAAGTGTTGAGTTTTAGTTTGCTGGTCGCTTTTGATGGTAAATGTGAGCACGCGTGCAGGTGCTCTAACACAGCGACCAACGAGAGCCGGAGAAGTTGCAAGCCCGCTAGCTAACCAAAAACCCATGGATTCTGTTCTGCATTCGGGTTTTGCTCTGTGGCATAAGTCCGTCCCCTGACGCTGGCTTCCAATCGACTTCTTAAGGGGCGGAGTGTGCATACATTAACCAGAGACTCTCATTTATATGAGGCCAAATATATTGATATATTGATACGTCTCTAAAGTCTCTTAAATGCAAATATTGTACATACTATTAAAGTCTACTTCATTTCACATTTCTGGTTTTCTGGTTTTCATTCGTTCAAGATTAAACTTCACATATTACACAGTTTTAATATCCTTATTTCCTAAAAAGGGGTAATTAAACACTGGTTAAAGTTGCACCGATTACATGAAACACGTCAAGCATATATATATACAAC